TCTTTGTAAAATCCAGTTTAAGCAAAGAACTTTGCTAAGTCAAATTAGCAATAAACCCCTATCCTTGATAGCTGATCATCCTCATTATCTGATCAGGTTCTTCAGTCTCCACCATCACCCAGGTGATGCCTCATCATCTTGGCCTGTCTTCAGCAAAAATCCTATTAGGTGGGTTTAGCCAAAATCCCCCTTACCCTGATGTTTCCTCTTAGTAATTTTCCATTCACTTACCTCTGCTCCTTGGTTATAAATCTCCACTAGCCCATGCTGTATGGGGAGTTGAGCCCAATATCTCTTTCCCCACTGCAAGTCTCCGTTGCAGTCAGTGGTCCCCATACCTATTGCGATGGTCCTGAATAAAGTCCTCCTTTTTGTGCTTTAACAAGTGTCACTAAATACTTTTTTCTTTAACAATAGCCCGTTCTCCAAACCCCTAAGTCCACGATTGTTTAGTTTTCAGGAAACCTGAGTGAGCCCAAGGTCCATAGCATCGTGAGATTTGTGGGTTTAAGGCTGAATTTCTGTCCGTTTTTAGGTAAATGTTTTAGTGTGAAAGCTTGAACAATTGTTGGGAAAGCCTTAGATTTGACCCCCAAAATGACATTTTGCCGTTTTTGGAGGGGAGGGGTTACGGCGCTGTGTTTAAGATCAGGCGAGTGAAAGGCCCTAACCAACCCTCCTTTCCTTTGGAAAGAAGTCTCTATGGAGGGAAAAGCAGGTAGCAGCAGCGGTCCCCGCCCTCGCTGGCGGTGGGGCGGGGCTGCGTGGGCGGGGCTGGGGCCGCAGGGGCAGCCAGGATCCCTGGGAGGGCCAGGCCTGCGCGCTGCGAACCCACGTGACTTTTTCGCCTCCCGAGACACCGACGCATGCGCATCGTGCCCTGGACCAGGCGACCGTGGCGCGGGTGGCGGCTGCTGTGGTGGCTGTGGGGACGGAGGCGGTGAAGTGCCATCTTCGGCTAGGTCGTCACAGTCTTCGGCTCATGGCATCGAGTAGCATCCATTATAAGGTCTGCTGGGGCGGGTTCCTTGAAATTAGCTGGGGGCGGAGGGTGGTACTTGGGACTGAAAAGGGCCTGCCCGGTTTCAGGCCGCGCTGTGGCCGCGGCCTCCCTCTCCCGCCCTGTTTGAGGCCTGGCTCGGACTCAGCGGCCAGTTGTCTATTCCTTTCTCCTTCCCACCTGTTGGGTGGAGCGGTGCAAGGTATTTTTTTCTTAGACCAAACGTTTCACTTGAGGGCTGCATTAGGTAGGGTGGGGAAGTGTGGGCCTCCTTCGCCTGGATTTAGGAAGATATTTGCGGGTAATTCTAAAGCCCTTGCTTCCCCCGGAGCTGGAACACAGCTGGGATGGCTGGAAGTGGAAGGAGCACGTTCGCAGCCGCCAGAGGACTGGGAAGATAATATACGTTCTATTACTAAGGCATGTGAGCGCCTTGTAGGGCACGTTCTGCCTTCTAACTACATAAGCAACACTTTTGCGACCCTAAGTCACAGCACCCAAAGCTTTTGGCAGGATACTTTAGAACAGAGAAAACAGACATCAGAGATCCTGGTAGGATTTTTTCAGGGAATCTGCTTAAGAATACTTAACTTTGGTAATCAGAGACCACCACTGGTGTTTTTCTCCAAAATCACATCTTTAAGTTAATTAATTCTTGAAGTTAATAAATAATACTGCTCAGTGTATTACTGATGATGCCATAATACCATGTAAATTTATGCCGATTCAAATATTATTTTTTTCGTTTGATATTCATATGGCCTTCTGTTTGAGGACTTCAGATTATTTAGCAACTGATTTAATCTGTTCAGAAATAAACTTTGCTACAGCTGGAAAGCGTGAGGCTTGAGAAATCAAATTTCGGACAGGGAAGTATGAAACTCGTGTTGGAACTAAGTGTTTTAGGCTCTATGGGAGCTTGAATGGAGTGAAAAGAACAAGCGTTTACTGTCAGGTTTTCCTCCTCCCTCTAGATTTATAACCTCATTCTGGAGTTGCAAAAGTTGGAACTTTCCACTGTTCACTGTCTAGCAGGGATAAAGTGATGGAAGGGAGTTCTGTTAAAGAAGACTAGTATTTAGATTGTGAACTCTGAGGTAGGAGTTGAGCACAGGTGGCTAATAGGTGGTTATGAGTCACTATTTGTTTAAAGTCTCATTATTTTTACTTGTGTATCTTGAATAAGAAGATGTTTAAAAGTCAAATGATAAAAATTGTATGTGCTGTTTTCGTGGTATGTTTTAACAAATCTTCATGGAAGATAGGACTTTAAAAAAATTTAAAAATAGCCAAAAGAGGAAGAAAGTAGTATAGTTCCAGCCAAATGGTACGTTTTCCAAAAAGCCGAAGATGGTGTAGACATTTATGTAAATGCGTATACAAAATCTAGTTTCTAGAACACAGTGTTTAATATGTCGAGACCTTAAAAAGTCAGCCTATGACTACTTAGCCCCTGAAAACAGCTGCCAAAACCAGTGGTTATGATAGTCTCTTTTCTTCTTACATCCCACATCTCCAGATTCCCTTATTTGTGGATGAGGTTTGTGTATTGCAAAGCTACTTGTTTTGCTCTACCCAAAACTCCTTTCAGTCTTTAGTGATGACTTCGGATTTTTATGTATTGCTCTGTTTATGAAAAAGAATAGTCAATGGTAAAATTTTTAAGTACCTCTACAGGAATAAGAAGCATACAGAGAATAAAAAAAATAAGGTATTAGGTCAAAAGACAGCGTTTCACTCTTGTTGCCCAAGCTGGAGCACAATGGCGTGATCGGCTCACTGCCACCTCCACCTCCTGGGTTCAGGTGATTCTCCTGCCTCAAGCTGCGATTACAGATGCGCGCCACCACGCCCGTTTAATTTTTTATAGTTTTAGTAGAAATGGGGTTTCACCATGTTAGCCAGGCTCGTCTCGAACTCCTGACCACAGGTGATCCTCCTGCCTCGGCCTCCCAAAGTGTTGGGATTACAGGCGTGAGCCACCATGCTCGGCCCAAATGTCCCATTTTTAATTAAGTGTTGGTAATTGAAGTCATCCTCCAAAAGACCTTTTAAATTTTAAGATTGCATAATTGTCACTGAAATATTTAATGTATGTCATAACTATACTAAAAGTGAAAGGTATGATAAATGTATTTTTTTATATATTGCATATTCTCTTTATGTTATGTTTCATTTTATACTCGTGTCCTTTGTGCCTATCATATGATTTTATAATAAATTGTAAAAATAGTAATAATAAATATATAATAATATAATAAAGTGAAAAGGAATCGACTGGTTTGGTGAGTTGAAAAAGGGAAGACTTTTATTAGTCTGGGGGAACAGCTTGTGTCAAGGCTCAGAAAGGAAGAATCTAAGGGGCTCTGGGAATGGCAATGAGGAGGAGTATTGTAAGATTAATATTTTTGGAATTTTAAGTTGGGACTAGATCATTCAGAGATATTGTGCTGTTACACAGCAAGTATTATTTTAGGTTCTAGGGGGACAGCAGTGAACAAAACTGACAAGGCCTCATTGTCATTTATTTTTTTTTTTCCTTTTACTCCTGTTGAGCTGTGATCAGGGAATTTAATATTCTAGTAATATTAGTTTGCAGTAGTGCAGCAGTATTTCTCAATTTTTTTTTTTTTCCTGCAGCCCACAATAAGATGTATATGGACATCACTAACTCAATAAACAGTTCACTTGTGTGTACTTCAACATTATGCCCTTAAGGTGTGCATGCACTCTGGCATATATATTTTTCTACATTTACAAAATGAGAAGCTGGTTTGAAGCAATCTGCAGTTTGAAAAGCATTGATCCAGAGGGGAGAAAATAAGTACTTAAATTATAACACTAGTAGTGTGAATGGAAAGAAGAAGATAGTTAATTTTTTTAAGGTGTATTATCCCACTCTGTCACCCAGGTTGAAGTGCATGGTCAGCTCACTGCAACCTCCACCTCCCAGGGCTCAGGTGATCCTCCTGCCTCAGCTTCCCAAGTTGCTGGGACTACAGGCACGTGCCACCACATCCAGCTAGTTTTTAAATTTTTTTGTAGAGACGGCGTTTCCCTGTGTTGCCCAGACTGGTCTTGAACTCCTGGACTCAAGCAGTCCTCTCACCTCGACTTCCCAAAGTGCTGGGATTACAGGTGTGAGCCACTGCACACGTGGCCCAGAGTGTATTATTATTTTTGATTGACAGATCATAATTGTATACATTGTGTGGTAGGGGATCGTTCATTTTTATACCAAGTTATGTTTGATTATTTTGTGAATGAGGCTTACAGAGGTTAAGTAATTGGCTCAGAGTTCCCTAATGAGTAGCCAGAAGTCTGTTCTTTTGGCCTCTAAAGCCCAAGCACTTATCACTTCCCATTTGGTCATGAAAGCAATATACTGGGTTTTAGTATGGGTGACTGAAGACTAATGTTACTTGTTTATTGTTCAATGAATTGAGTGTATACTAGGTCTCCAGGTGTACTGTATCCGTGTGTATTGGTAGATCTGGTCCTTACTGTCAAGAAATGTGTAATCTGGTAGAGAACATACACATTGAACAAGTATCACAAACGTGTTATGTGCTATGGAGAAAAAGAATGCTGTCAGGGCATGATTGGGGGCAGCCTAACTTATTTGGGAGATACGAGAACACTTTTCAGGAAGTGGTGTTAAACTTTGCCCACTATGATTTTGGCATTTCTTAGACAATTTTGGATTAATTATGAAAACAACTACTCTCTGAGCAATTGTTTAAAAAAAAATTAAAAAGCAAACTATGCCCAGAGGATTAGGCTTTAGTTAGTTTGAAGGCACTGAGTCAGAGTGTGGTGTCGGGTAAAGGGATGAGGCATTCAGGTAGAAGAAACTTCATATACTAAGATTCCTAAGCTGAAAGGAGCGGAATTGGAAAAAACAGAAAGCAAAACTCAACAGAAATAGGATGTCTGAGCTGTACGAGTTAATAGAGAAGAGGCAAGAGTTTTGGTGTTAGGATGAGGTTGAATCTTGTCTCTATTTCTTATGATTCGTATACCTTTAGACAAGTTATTTAACCTTAATGCATTTTGGTTTTGTTATCCTTAAAAAGGAAAGTAGGATTTAACAAAATATTTGCTCAATAAATAGCATCTCTTATTATCATTAATAACTAGTAATTGAAGTTATAGCAGTACAGATGACATGCTTTCATTGATTCTTCAGAAATAATGAGTGTCTGTGTGTGCCAGTCAACTCAATATACAGTAGTTGAATTACACATGTATGTGTATTACATTTAAAGTGTCATAAAACAATATGCTCTTACTATGCAAAGCACTGTGCTAAATTTTTTTTTTCTATTCTATTTTCCTTCTGAAGAAAGGTTCAAGAAACTGGTCTGAAGCAGTCTACAGTTTGAAAATTACTGATACAGTGGAGAAATGATTACTTAGCCCCTTATTAGAGATACGATATGCAAATATTTTCTCCCATTCTCTAGGTTACCTTTTCACTCCACTGATTGTGTCCTTTGATGCACAAAAGCTTTTAAATTTGATGTAGCCCTATTTGTCTGTTTTTGCTTTTGTTTGCCTGTGCTTTTGGCATTATCCAAGAGTTCACTGCCATATCCAGTATCATTAAGCTTCTCCCTCCGTTTACTTCTAGGAGTTTTATAGTTTTAGGTTTGACATTTAGGTCTTTACTCCATTTGAAGTTAATTTTTACATGTGGTATAAGACGAGGGTCCGACTTCATTCTTCTGCACTTGGATATCCAGTTTTCCAAGCACCATTTGAAGAGACGATCCCTTCCTCATTGAGCAGGCTTAGCACTTTGTTGAGAGCCATTTGACAAGGGAGTTTATTTATGGGTTCTCTATTCCACTGGTCTATTTGGCTGTTTTTATGTCAGTATCACACTTGATTTCTTTCTTTCTTTTTTTTGAGGCAGGGTCTGGCTCTGTCACCGAGGCTGGAGTGCAGTGGCACAATCACAACTCACTTCAGCCTCGACTCCCCAGGCTCAAACAATCCTCCTATTT